TAATAATATGTTATTATGATTTCAAAGTTATAATACTGTTATGTATTAGCAGTTTGTAACTACTCCTTTATCCCCATATGAGCCTCTATGTACTTGGGGCACAAACCCTGTCTTGAAGCATAAGAAACTTGCCCCGCTTAATGTAACGGATAAAGAGAAACAGAGTATCACACAAATAACAAATCAAAACTAGCGTAAGAGTACTGAGAAAGATTTCCTAGTGGGGTACATGTCTTCGCATGTTAACCCATTTTTGGCAGGCCATGATGGCGTTGGGGTGCTGGTGAAATGGGCACAAGTGATCATGTCTTGTCTACAAACGGGCAAAAAGAAGAGATCCTAGGAAAGGAAAGTTCACTGCTTACTTCATTAATCCCAACAAGAACGACCATCGTAGGATAGGAAAGTTCACTGCTTACTTTATTAATCCCAACAAGAACAACCCCATTCCTTCACATTTTCAACCGTCTATACACATTTGATTATCATGCCAACTCGTATATGGTGTCTTATTGTGATTTCCTGTTTCGAGGTCACAAAGGATCACTACTAGAGTACCTAATTTCGATTCCTTTTCCCATTTGTCAAGCACAAATTTCCACTAATTTCAAACTTTGAATTTTATAGTGTTAATGTCCACATTTTATAAAATTGAGAACATCTTTATATAATGTGTATATCATATCAAATAGATAAATATATATTAATTATAATATCTATATTAAAATTAATAATATTATAACTATAACATTAATATTATTTATTTATAATTATAACATCTTATTAAATAAGTGAATATATATAATAATATTATTATATTTTTTAATAAAAAATAATTATATAATTATATATCATATTATAAATTTACAATAATATAAAATTGTCATTTTGAAAATTAGCACATGAAATGAAATTGAAGAATTCCACCATGCGACCCGATGGATTGCACATTTCAATGAAGGTGTAGGAGATCACCTATTATAAGGATTGAATCTGCAGTTACTAACAATTCCTAATCTAATTACTAACATTATTTTTGTCAAAAAATAAAAAATGAAATGAAATTGAAAGTTCTAAGTTCTTGATAAGGATGAAGGCTGCTACCCCTGAAAAACTTGAGCGTTTCCATTAGTTTTGTCAAATAAACCGTTGGCATGGTCGATTCCAGAATCTCTTTCTTTTCCTTCTATCAGAAACAGTGTCCTGAGGTGACCGCGCCGTTGATTGTAGAGCCGACCACATGAAAAATGCGCACGATGAAGTTGCCGCCGATGACAAATGCTAGATATTTTGTTACTCACGAGCTTTATAGCAATCCGTTTCACTCAGAATTCTCCCCACACCTTCCCCAAACCCCCCATAAACCTTATAAATCCATCACCTGATCACCCCCTCCATTTCCAGAGCAGCACTGAATCCCCAGTCATGGCTACTCCAAGCACTGATTGCGGGTACCTCATTGTCTGCCCGGAAAGGGCGGATTATGGGACCTGCTCAAGTACGTAGTTTGGCGTAGTCAAGGGAGTCGTGTTAGGTTCCTAGAGACCTCCGACGAGGACGTGCTAGGTAGGGCGACGGTGAAACCGGACCACCGCTGGGTCATTGTCGTCTCCTTCATAGCGCTGAAAATCATTCATCTCATTAGCAAGCCAATGCAATACACCGGTTACGCCGTCACTTTCATTCTCAATCTCATTTCCCAGAACGGCGGTTTCTTCGGCCTCCTCCGCAATCTTCTGGCCGGTATTGATTGCTTTGTTTTTCTTTACCCATTTCCCGATTTCCGATCGTAATTTCTGCCCATCAATGCGTTGATTATGGGAACGCAGGAAACTTAGTTGTTCCACAGAGAGGCATCGAGGCTTACATTAGCATAGTTGGACAAATAGATGGTAGAGTGGATCTTTACCATGGGAAAAAGCTAGTGAAAAAGCTCTATTCCTCTGCTTCAGGGGAGATAAGTAACAACAGAGAACTCATGGACCTATGCATGATGGCCTCAAAATTATCATATGAGAATGCTGAAGTTGTTAGGAATGTTGTGGTTCATCACTGGAAGGCAAGTTCCTTTCTTTTTCATTCCTTGTTTGACCGGACTATTATTGAATCAATGATGAATTTTCTGTCATATTTGTGGTGTAAACAGATGCATTTTGTGGCTTTGTACAATTGCTGGGATGGTAAGAAACAGTTTTTAACTTTTAGGCTTCGTTTACTATGTTATTGTTTTTAGTAGGTAAGAATAGGATTAGTTGCTAAAATTTAAGGGAATCAAAACAAAAAACTAGAAACAACAACGATACTAAACAAAGTCTTGATTATCTTTGCAAAAGGAGAAATCCACTCAGGTGTTTAGCTCCATTTAATATTGTTGTTGTTTTTGGTACTTAAGTATAGGTCTGTTGCTAAATTTAAAAGAATCAAAACAAAAAATCAGAAAGAACAAATACTAAACAGAGCCTTAATTATTTTTCCAAAAGAAGGAATCTACTCATCTTGTTAGGCTTCATTTAATATTGTTGTTTTTAAATCTTACAACTAAGAACAACAATGATACTAAACAGAGCCTTTATTATCTTTCTCTTGATGGGAATGAACCCAATTGAAATCCTCTTTGTTAGATTTCCAAAAAGAGGAATCTACTCAGGTGTTCATATTGTGTGACAAGCCTAAGGATGCAAGTTTGATATTGATCAGCTTCAGGGGCACAGAGCCATTTAATGCTGATGATTGGAGTACTGATTTTGACTACTCATGGTACGAAATACCGGGGCTGGGGAGGATTCATATGGGGTTTCTTGAGGCATTAGGATTGGGAACCAGAAATGATACCTCAACATTCCAGGATCACCTGCAAGTGAAAAGCAAGATCATCCCTCCGGAAATGGTGAAGAGGACTGCATACTATAGGGTGAGGAGAAAGCTAAAGAGCTTGCTTGGGGAGCACAAGGATGCAAAATTTATTGTCACCGGACATAGCCTAGGAGGAGCTCTAGCTATTTTGTTTCCAACAGTTCTGGTGCTACATGAGGAGATGGGTCTAATGCAAAGGCTATTGGGTGTATATACATTTGGACAGCCTCGGATTGGGGACAAGCAGCTTGGGGAATACATGCAAGCTCACTTAGATAATCCTGTCCGGAGATACTTCAGAGTTGTCTACTGCAATGATCTGGTTCCCCGGTTGCCCTACGATGATAAAACATTCTCGTACAAGCATTTTGGGGTGTGCCTTTATTATGACAGCTGCTATAACGAGCACGTATGTATCCATATCTCTCTGTTTGTTCTTATTTTCATCAATGCTTAATGTTCTTCATGCTAATGGCTTCTTTCCTTTTTCATTGAAGATAATGCATGAGGAGCCAAACAAGAACTATGCGATAACAGACGCGATCCCAATACATCTTAACGCGGTATGGGAGTTAATCAGAGGCCTAATCATGAGGTACACATGCGGGCCAGAGTACAAGGAGGGATGGTTAGCCATAGGTGTGAGGATAATAGGACTGGTACTACCGGGAATTGCTGCGCATTGCCCTGTAGATTATATCAACTCTATCAGACTTGGGAAAAGCTCTGCTATTCCCAAGTCTTCCTTCTAGGAATAATCTTGGCTAGCTATTTGCTTCTGCTAATGAATAAATTTCTGCGTTCTTTTCCCAGTTTCATTTTGAATTTCAAGCATTCAACACATGGAAAACCTACACCTAATTCTGAAATTGCTTAAGTAACCATAAGAGCAGAGTATTTTTGGTATCATGACTCCAAGAAAGTATGAAGTGTTTTATTCCATCTCTGGACAATTTGAAGTTCATAAAGTTCATCAAAAAGAAAATTCAACTGTGGTAGTATAACTATGTTGCTGAGATTTGCCTAAATATTATAAGAGATCTTGGTAAACAAAAATGAAGGTTTCAAAATCTCAAGAACAAATAGCCCTCTTTGATATCAAAAATTAAGATATGACATTGACAAGTCTGCTCAGATGCATCCCTGACCTTTGAGTGCCAAAGAATAGAGACTGTCATAGCGAAGAACTCGTCTCCTCCTCAGTGACTTGGACAATGAATGTTGATTTCGTTTGCAGACTGTAAATGACATGAATTGGGGAGCAACTGTTGCCAGAGTTGCCATTACTAGGAAATTGAAGAATGCCCTATTCACGTCATGGCCTCAAACTGTGTGAGAACCTTGGATGAGGTTCAAATTCTTAAGCCTCACAACTGATTCTACATGTCCTCTTAAAGTATGCATCTCTCCCAATCTGGAAAGTTCAAGGGTTATTTTAACAAGCAGATTTCAAAAGAAGTTTATTTCTCAGTTTTTGGGCTAAAAGGAATATGAATATAATCCAATAGTATAGCTGGCAATAAGTAAAACTCATAAAAAAAGAAATCATGAGAGGTGTTAGTGATAAAATGTGTAGGATACCTGGCTATTTCAGCACGCCGCCTGGCCTGCTCAGCAATCAAGGAAGATCGTGATCTTCTACCATTGAACTCCTCTATAGCAGGTAAACCTTGGAGACTCCTTTGAGAAAGAACCCACTGAGCTGCCCTATCTTCTTTACCATAATCTTTCTTCGAAGTAAATGCAGTCTGATGGAAATATTTCAAGCTCAGGTTGATTACAGACTATGGTAGATGATAATGCAAAACAGATATAAATCATGGAACAATGAACTAACCTTTCTGTCAAATACGAGGTTCCAGGCTTCTCCACTCAAAGCATAACGAACCGTGAACTTGATAATATCCAGGGGTATATAGAAGATTAAACTATATAACCATATAACACCAGCCCATCCCCAACCAATGCCACTGATATAAGCAAAGCTAATATGTGCATACACAGCAATTATGGTAGCCACCTATATATAATGATAAGAGAAACACAGTTTATATTGGTTTCATTCCTTAGAAATCAAGTTATTGTGTAAGGAACATTAGGTTAAAGGTCAATTTCTTTTTCAAAGTTGGGTTTATATATATACATTCATCATTAAGTTAAAACAAAGACGAGATATGTTACCAGTTGAGCCACAACAAATGCACACATCAGGAGGACTCCAGGTCTCTCCAGGAATGACCAACTCTGACTGCGAGTGACGAATATGAGAGCCTGGCTGATGATGCTAACTTGCAGATATATTGCAGACGAGACTTCCTCACTATTGTCAGATAGAGACCTCACATTGAAGAGGTTCTGCAGCAGCATAGATGATTAACAACAGCAAATAGGTGCAAGAAACTCACACACACACATGCAAAGGGTTATCAGTTTATACCTCAAAGAAATCAGTGTCAATCACAATCCAGTAAAAGAGTACGGTAATCAAAGCAAGATAGGTTCCAATGACAATGCCAGTGGCAAATATTTCATTCAGCTTCCAGCTATCAGGCCTTGGAGATGGCTTTACTCGATCTTGGGAAATAGTCATGATGGTTCCTAATTAAAAATCCAAAGGTTTGAAGTCAACATTTCATACACAGTTATTTTTTTTGTGTGCATCAAACAAACAGTACATTTTGTAATTCAAATAATTAAATTGCAATTATAAACTTTAATCAATGCCATTTGCATATTCAACCATCTATACAGCTATTTCATTTTTTTTTTCTCTTTTTTTTTTTTTTTTATGAAATCTATGCAGATATTTCTAGTAATGTCTTAATTAATAAAAGCTAAAGAAAATAGACACATCAGTATAAGGCAACTACATATTCATCTATCAAGTGGAATAGCAAGTGTTCAGATTGAAAATTGTGTAATAAAATTTAAAATTAATCAATATTTTAGCTGGTAAAAAGTGGCTTAAGCTTCCACTAAAATCCTGTTCGACCCCATATCATTTAAGAATAAGAAAAGTAAGGGCTATCACAGGGCGAAATATTACCATCATTAAGTATTGCTATGATCAGAACCATGAATGGTGGAAAGTCGTATTCCCATATCAGTGCTAAAAGCACAAAACCAAGCTGCAATAGGACAGTTATACATGGAAAGCAAAATCAGTATTCAAACCCTCAGTAAGTTCATTACAAATAACAGAGAATTTAAGTGTATTGAAAGAATCCATCTTACCACAATACGGATGGTAATAGATACAGCATATATCTGCATGGTCATATGGGCAAATCAGCATCATAATTGTAAAACCAACATAAAGATCAGCAATGCTATAGTTACAATGCCAGTATGCTACCCAGGATTGTAAGCTTACAATCATGATGTGTCATTAAATAAGTGGATGCATACAATATCATGGGTTGACCATGAGTGAAAATATCCAATTATATAATGACATATCATGTTGTAAGCTTACAATGCCATGTGGTGGCATTATAACTATATCATTTTCACATAAAGATAGAAGCAACTGTAAGTACCATCTAAGCAAAAAAAATTTGTAAAGTTGTGACGTATACTGAACTATTATACACACAACATACATAGATTCTTAGCTGTAACTTGCAAGCTCCAATACTTCATTTTTTTAGAAGATCTGATTTAAACTTAGCAGTGATTATATCTGGTTTTCGTGTCACAAAGGACAGGATCTTAGATAAATAGAAAGACTAATATGTTCAGAAGTTGGGTAACACAAACAGGTTGAAACTTTGTGGATGATTAACCTGGAAACAGCATTTAAGGCCAGATTCTATTTCCAGCATGCTATTGCATACCAAAGATACAAGCTACTGTTATTTATTTAAAAGAAAGAGATGAACAGTCCTACCGTATAGTTCTTCATTCTTTGGAAAATAGCTCTGCTTGTCAGGACAGCACTTACTATCACGCTTAATCCAGGCTCAGTTAAGACTATATCTGAAGCACTCCTTGCAGCATCTGTAGCATCAGCCACTGCTATTCCAATGTCTGCTTTCTTCAAAGCAGGTGCATCATTCACACCATCTCCAGTCATTCCAACCACATGCTTCTTTTCTTGCAAAATCTTTACAATTTCATACTTGTGCTCTGAAATTTCAAAAAGAAAGTAGGTTGAATCAAGTGGTATAATGAATAGATGTAGCATATATGTGACACATCTCTGTGAGGACTACCAACTATTTTTATTGGCAAAGAAGCTAGTGCTTAGCTATTGCAGATGTTGAACCCCTGACCTTAACCTTAAAATTAAGGTTTTGAAGTTAATGGATACCAATTCGGCTAAGCTTCTGTTGGTCTATGAGAGCTACAAACTGCTTTGGTTAAGTGACTGAGCTAAGAGTATTAACTGCTCTGGTGCACTTGATGATATGGAGAGTTCTGAAAATTTTCACTATTGTTTATTATCTGAATTAGTAATTTTGACTTAGTAATGTGATTCAAGAAAAGATCAACTTATAGTAGTATCTCATAAAAAGCAATGATATGCATGAACTACATCTTTTTCTTGTGTTAAATCAGCTTTAAACTTGGTGATGCATCAGAAATATTTTTCACTTTTTAATTAGAAGCATCATTATAAACTACAATCTCACTTTCATTTTTATGGACAGGGGGATGGTTCGAAGGTTTGGCTCAGCAGTTTGAAATTTTAAGTTGATCTTTCTTAAAGATGTAATTTTATCTTGGAATTAAATTCTAAATAAAAGTAGTGTAAGAGTTCTATCAAACAGGTACTAGTATTTTAACTATAAATACCAGGGAATACGCCAGCAAAGCCATCTGCCTTTTCAATAAGTTCATCAATCGGAAGAGCTTCATTTTCATCTCTGTCATGTCCCAACAGTGATGAAGAAGGGTACATGTTTGTTCCCATGCCAAGTCTTCTGCCTGTCTCCTTTGCAATTGCCAACTGATCGCCTACAGGAGTGCATAAATAAAATAATTAGCAATTATCCTACAACACTTCCAACTGTATACTTAAGAGGAATGATGAGGGAGTTTACAAGCACATATTTCTGGAAATGATAAATATTGCTTAAAAGACAAAAATGATGAACTGGCACTGGAAGCTGATCATTATTATTATAAAATATCCTGTAACATCACCAAAAGTTTATATTTACCTGTAATCATCTTAACGTTAACTCCAAGGTTAAGTGCCCTACGGATGGTCTCAGCACTATCATGTCTTGGAGGATCAAATAAGGGCAACAACCCACAAAATGTCCAAGGGCCTCCAGGACTGTCCTTGGTTTTTTCTGGAACTTCCTGAAAGTGGAATATCAAGATGATGATATGTGAGGACAATCTAATGAAAAGTCAGAGTGAACTATTCTTTGCCTCTTCTAAACAAAATTAGTGGTTTCTGAACTTAAAACTTTTACTGGACAAGAATAAAACCCAGAAACAGCACCTGAAAAGCAACTCCCAAAGAACGCAGGCCCCTTTCAGCAAATTTGTCAATAATGGTGTGTACTTTTCCAGCAATTTCATTTTTCTCTTTGCACAGATTTAGAATCTGATTTTTTGGGGGAAAAAAGGAGAAAAAGGTAAATATTCATGCTCTGTTGCAAATATATACCATATTGAAATGTCTGATAATTGATGAATAATTGTAGATACTAACAAATCTGATATCAGGATAAAAATTTTATGAGGTTATAAGATGATTGGCATTGATATTTGAAAAAAAATAAAGAAAATTTCTCTCAAGTTGAATCTACAAGTGATTTAGGGACGGATACAAGTCAATATAACAAGTTAGTAATTGAACTTCGGCTTCTTATTTTTGCCTCCTATTCAGTTTGCAACTGAACCTCTGTTTAAAATTTTAAATTTAAAAATACCATCTAACAAGACTTGATGAGCAGGGACCTGAACATTAAGAATAACCTCTTTGAGCATACAGTACCTGTTCAGGAGCTCCTTTGCTGGCACGGTACCAATTGCCATTAAAGTCTATGTATGTTATTGCGGTACGTTTGTCCACTGGATTAAATGGAAGGAAGTGAACTTCTCTGATGTTTGCTCGAGCCTGAATATAAGAAGATGATTTGATTCATCATGCACTAGAAACTAGCAAAGACAGCAAAGAGTTTATATTATTAAGATCAATAGTCTCTGTGTATATACCTCCCCTGGGTCAGCAAGCATGTTGACAATGGCTGCATCAATGGCATCCTGATTCTCTAGTCTTGACGCTCGCGCTGCAAGCAGAACAACCGTATCTTTGTCCATGTCTTTGTTAAAAACCTGCAGAAGAAGAGAATGTACAATTAGTCTCTTTAGGAAAAAAAAAAAAGCCAACTTGTGAGCATCCAACCTATAATCAATTGGCAATTTGTGAAGTGGCCTATACAGCTATATATATTTAAGTCCACAGGTTTTTCCTTAATTCTTCAATGTGGGGTTTTTCCCCAAACACAAGTTGAGAATTTAGGAACTTATAAGTTTTTGGCGGAGTCATAACGGAACGGTGTATAAGTTGCTAATATTTGTCATAATCTAATGACAGATTGTGTTTTTCAAGTTTATAAGAAGATAAGTAAGCTCCTTAAAGACTTAAACCCGAGTAATAAACCATCAAATTAATTCATCCTATTTCCCAAATTTTTGGTGGGTCCTGGCTAAAGCCTTCGTGAAAGCAAATCAATTCAGATACTGTTATTTATTATTTCCTATATGATCTGCAGATAGCTAAACTGAATGGACTTGAAAATTGAAATGAAGTCAGCTGTTGTACCTCAATAAGGTTTCGGTCAACTGTAAGGCGATTCAAGGTTAGAGTTCCTGTTTTGTCACTGCAGAGGACATCCATTCCTGCCATTTCTTCAATTGCAGTCATCCTTTTTGTAATGGCACCCTTGAAGAATGAACAAAAAGGAAGCAAATATCACTTGAGTTTGATTCTATATATGTAAAAGGTGAACTCTAAAAGCTGTAGTTCCTTTTCTAAGGCCAAAATATTTGAATCTATGTACTTAGTTGATATGATATTAGAAGAACATTTCTAGCTCAATTCTACATGTTGGACAGTTACTTAGATCGACTTTCTATTCACCAACCGTGTTTGCACATCAATGAAGAAAAATCATGAACAATGAATTTCAGCATAGCTTAAGCATGTTCTGAATCTTTAGCTAGTAAGCATTGCACCTGTTGAGAAAGTCGATGAGAACCAATTGCTAGTGTGACGGATAGTACAGTTGGCATAGCTATCGGAATTCCTCCAATCAAGAGAACAAGAAGGTTGTTTATTCCATCCCTGTATGAACGATGTTGGATAGGGAACATGACAATGATTTCAAGAATCATCCCAACAGCTATTGAGCAAATGCAGAAGTTCCCGATGGAAGTGAGGACCTGCAAGAATTTATGTCAGAAATCTAGTCAGTTCAAGCAGTACGTCTAACTTAAGCCAGGATTAGAGCAGACTTTATAGAATTTAATAGGTTTGCACAGTTAGAAAATTTAAGCTAAAGCCAAGATGCTAACTGGCTAACTAGATTAGGAAATACCAAGCACACACAAATAGAATCCTTTCCACAAGAACTGTAGCACTAATCTCCCCCAAATAAGTTAACTGACTACATAACTGAAAGGCTAGAGAACATCATAAGGGATTTGTTGACCAATATAAGCAGGGTATTACCAATTAGCCCTGTTAACATGGAAGCTAAAGATGTCCTAGATCACCTGCTGGAAGTGTCCAACAACTTCTGTGCTGTCCACTAAATGTGCTGCTTTCCCAAAGAAAGAGTGAACTCCGGTGGCTATGACCACTGCCTCAATCTCACCATGCTTACAAGTTGAACCAGAAAAAACTTCATCTCCTGTCCTCTTGGTTACAGGGAGTGATTCCCCAGTAAGTGCTGACTGCAAATTTTACATGACTTTATTAATATAAGAATTGCAATTGGTTGATAAGAATAAACACAAAGTATCCAGGTTTTATGTGATGGAAACTGCAGGGTAAACAAAAGTGCAAATCAACCTATCATTTGGCATGTACAATTGGCTATAGGTGGAGAGGGTCTTGGGGTATTTAAGTCCATTGGTCTCCTCTTAATTCATGTTGTGGAATTTTCCCATTTAACAATTCTCAAAGAAGCACTTGCCTGGTCAATCTTTAGTGGGTCACCTTCAAGCAGGCGGGCATCTGCGGGGATAATATCCCCAAGTTTTATGCTAATTATATCTCCTGGTACAAGAATTGCTGCATCTTGCTCTTGCCACTGCCCATCTCTAAGAACCTGCATAAAACAAGATTTTAAAGAAGGAATTTAAATAGAATAATAGTAGCCTAGAAGTATACTTTCTCTAAAGTTAACTTGTAGTTGAATACATGTTGAACTATTCTACAAATTGAAGATATCAACCATAGGAACGCACTCTTGTTTTTGGAGCTAAACGGGCCATAAGTGCTGCTGCAGCATTGCCAGCATTGTTTTCTTCTATAAAACTAATTGTTGAGTTGATAAGCAGCAGGCAAATAATCCCGATAAAGTCCTGCCAGTCAGGGCCCTCACTCTGAAACACAGCACATTATAGAGAAACCAAATATTAGTAAATATAACGGTGCGCATCAGGGCAGCTTTTAAACAGAAAAAGGTAAGGAAAAAAAAAAAGAACCGGAAAAATAAATCCAAGCTTGAAGTTAAATACTATTGAAAGAAACAATTTACTTACTCCACCATTGGCAAGGACAATTGCCATCACTGCTGCAGCTTCCATAACCCATGACAAAGGATTCCACATAAAACCTAGAAACTTCAAAAACTTGTTCTCCTATATCAGAATAAAAGCTAACAATTAGTTCATCTGGACAACCATTAGAAAAAAATGAAATTGATGCTAGAAGCAACCATTTAAGTAGTATGGACTAAGGAGTAAAGAAATTGCTATTGCTTTGACACATGACTTTGTGGGAAAATATATTCAAGTAGGTCAAGTTAGACATGTTCACATGATAAAACCAAGTCTTGAGATACTTATCACACTGAGCATTGGACATTTGGAACTAGCAAACTTCTCAAAATGAACTTGGTCAACTTTAAATCCCCCTAGCCTGCAGCTATCTTAGATTCTGTATGAAATTCAGGGCTTTGCTGGTACACCTAGACAACCTAAAAAAGCTATCTCCATATCCTGGACTAATCCATGCATGAGTTTTTCCCCCCCACTCATTTTATCATTGACTTAATGGCACAATTCATGAGATTAAATTTAATCTGGAGCTGATGGATCTCATCAATTTGATTCCAGCTCAATGCACTCTTCTAAACTACTGATGAAATATAAGGAGTCAAAATTTCTGAAACAATGGTGCTTACTGGCTTCTCCTCAAGCATGTTGGGACCAAAAATCTTCAATCGAGCTTCAGCATCTTCAGTTGTTAGTCCTGCTCGGGTTGTTCTCAGTTGTTCAAAAACCTCGTCCAATGGTAATCGTTCCTTTTAAAAGGAAGGTCCAAAATGCTTCAGTATCATGGAAGTGAATTCTTTAATGTGGAGAGTATGAATTAAGTTTTTAGCCACTCACCAAATCAATTCCCTCCCGGTTGAAGTCCTCGGGATTCAGCAATGGCTTTCCCAGATCTTCAGCCATGATCAAGCTTTAAAACCTGTATAAAAGATACATCCAAATGTTACTCATGAGCATTAAGCAATTTCGAACCTAATTCATAGATACCACATCTGAGAACATAAGCAAGACCTAACTAACACTTATAGACTACAACTGCCCAAAAAGATAGAAATCATTAATCTCCATATATCCTGTACCCAGTTGCACCCATTTGTGACTCTCAGGGATACTTCCTGCATGTAACCTTTATGAAGACTTGAACTAAGCCAATTTTCCAGTCATTCATGTTCTCTCAACAGTCTATAAGCACTGAAAACAAATGTCATTCAGAACTAACATCAAACAAGTGTAGTGCAGTAAATTTGAACCCTCTTCCATTTACTAGATTGCTTCCATAACACCACTACCTTGTATGAATTAACTGAACACTCATGGATAACAATCCAAACAAGGGAAAAAACCCATAATTGTTCATAGAAATGAAAACCCATGATCTTTTTGATCATCAGTTTGCATATACAACAACGAATTAGAATAACAACACAAACCGTTAAGTTTGCTACTTACTTCACCCAAGTAAGATGATCCAGTACTGTACAGAAAGGGATGAACTTCCTCCTCTGTTATCTTAAAGAGGGTCAAGTTGCTTAATGTAGCTAAGAAAGTCAAGTGAAGCGAGAGGCCTAAAAGTGGATAACAAGCCATGATCTGGTAGCTGACTGTTTGGTGGCCGTTCAAGGCAACAGAGAATCCTACATGTCGCACTCCATTTCAATTTCTTACTCGAATCAAATGTGGGCTAAGAAGAAAACCCAGAAAATGGGAAGGAAAGGCCGTTGCGCGGGGTTTCCAACTACCATTCAAAACTAACGGTCAGTGCCAGAACAACAACCAGACCCAAAAACCGCGGGTGGGCAAACTCCCTATTACCATTTCAGACGTGCTGGTATGTAATAACGCCACAACAGCATAACTAGCAATAAATTATACAAAAAGAAAAAATCAATCTTGGACTTTGAATTACTGCGAATCAGAAGGAAATGGAACAAATTAAACATATTCGACAGTTGGGTACTTGGATACATCCATCAAACAAATTAAGTAAGGATCTGGGTTGGAGTTCGGTTGTCTCCTGCCTTTACTGCTATTTTCTTCAGTACATCAATAACTTCGGACAAGACTTCCCTGAATGGGTCCTAAAACTGGTCATTAAACAATTTTGTGAATGTCGAAGAGGGTCTAAATTAACTGTTTAAATTAAGTTAATAATTAATATTTTAAGGTTAATAATTATTATAACACATAATTTAAATTAAGTTAATAATTAATATTTTAAGGTTAATAATTATTATTGTCCATAATTTGAAGTATTTAATTTATTCAATTAAAATTAACAATTTATAATAATTAAAAACTTCATAACAAATGTAACCGTAATTTTGATTACGTTAGTTTGAGTGCACCATATTTTTAACAATTGTAAGAGTTTTAACCATTACAATAGGAGTTTCTCTTTCCCCTTTTCCCAATTACCCCCTGCTCAAAAAAAAAAAAAAAACTTCATAACAAACACTCTTTAAGATCCTCCTCCCGAATATTTCCCTGTGTTAAAAAATTTTGGGTTAAGCCTGATCGACTTACCCCCTTGGGATGCCATCCATATTATTACTTTTTTATTTCATTTTTAATGGCTTTAACACTACAATTAGAGTTTAGTATTTCTTTTTACAGTGAGTAATGATTTATAGAGAGGAGCAAATAATAATTTTTTTAAATATTTTTTTTACTTAATTTAGAATTTAAATTTGAGATATTCAATATTAAAACTTAAATGTTAAGTATTGAGTTACTAGAATTTAGATCCTTCTTAGGCGTATGGGGAATAGGTCGGCGGTAGAGTTAAGGAATAAAATTCAATATTGCTTCAAAATTCAAATGTAATTTTAAACTTTATTTTAAAAACTAATATATTAAGACTTAGTTTCACAACGTTGTTTAGTGTTATTTTATATATGTAATTATTAGAAGTATTATATTATATTATTATTTGTACCAAAAAAATA